GGAATCCAGCCCAGATTTTCAGTCCTTTCTTCTTCTTTTTTTCCTTCCTCCCTTTCACTAATTTATCCCGATGTTAGCACATTCTGTCTTGTAACACCCGGGCGCCTGTAGGTTTGTTTCATGGGATCATTACTTACTGATCAGGATGGCTCCCAGGTTCGGGGCTGAAGACGGAGTGTGAAGTTGGGGAAACATTTTTTTTTTTTTTTTTAATTACTGTGATGATTATTACCTCTCGGTGCTTATTCAGGAAAAGCAAACAAACAAAAATCTGGTCCTTGATGCTTCAGTTCTGAATGTGAAATATTACCTACCAGCTGGTAAAGTTGTGAGGCTCAGCATTTTTTTTCTTTCATTTTTTTTTCTTTAAGCAAGGAGGAAAAAAACCTAAACAAACAAAAAAAAGGACTTCTGATCCGTATGCCAAAGTAGGGGGAGATATGTTATTGACCGATTTGTACTGGCTGAGATGATACTTGCTTTCTACTTCTTGATCACTTGCTCTTTAAGTAAAATGAGGCACAGAGTTGTTGCTGAGACGAGTGGGAACAGCATTTTGATTTGCTGGTTTAATTAAAAAATGATAAAGGATTAAGGTAAGCATTATGCATATATATGTATAAATATTTCGACAGTCGACTGTAAAAGGGAGAGATCCCTTTAAAAATCGTTTTAACTAAGCTTTGTCAAACACACACTCATTTGCGGTCACTGAGGCCACCTTGGTGCAGATCACTTAAAGTGTATGTCTTAATCAGTTTCCTGTACAGTCAGTAATACTATGTTTAACAGACCTAACAATTGTGTGACCTAGGAGTACATTAGAACTGCTTTTAGAACTGTTATGTTGAGAATATCTTTTTAAAGAAAAAAAGACCTTTTTATTTCTTTTCTTCCCCCTTTTTTTTTTAACCTATGGAGTTTAATATTTTCTAGTAGACGTTTCTGTTTGTAGATTGTTGCTTTTTAACAGAAGCTGTATTGTGGTAAGGAAAATGAAGCTTCCCACTTCCCTTAGCACTCCTTCTCCCCCGAGATTAAGTGGAAGGGGGGCAAAAGATAATGTAAGAGAGTCACAGAACTTCAAGGGTCTGGTTTAAAGCCACAAAATCCATGGAATGCCGTGAAGAGTGGGTCTGTGTCCTTCCTTTTCTCCTTTTCGTGCCTAGGTGGTGGTCCAAGGGGTTAGATTACAACATGTGCTCCAACAGCTAGGCACCACTTCTAAGACTGTATTTCCTGAGCTTTGTGGATTTAAATCATGTAGTTGGGTTTTTTTTTTTTTTCCTTCCTTTTTCGTGGACCTGGCTTTTTAAGAGATTGTGGATGTTGGTATACAACTAGGTTAAAGATGCTGACTATAAAAACATCACGGCCATTGCCTCTGGTTTAACAAACTTAAGAAAAAAATGTGGCAACGGTGGATGATTTTTTGCTCCCCCTGCCTTGCCCCTTTTTTTATTAGTTGTATTATATTCTGGTAACACCCAGACAAGAAATACTCAACTTTTTCCCTCCTCACAGGACAAGGTGGACGTGGACTGCAGGTTGTGAACCTAGACACACCTGGGGGAGGAAGACAAGAAGAGTTGAACTTAAGACAGCCCAACGGAGATAAACGAATGTTCCCATATCTCCAAAGGAAAGTTCATCGGATTTTTACTCTAGAGATCTCATATTCAGGATGTCATTGAACACTTCTACTGCAGGAAAAGGTGTGGATCCAAATGCGGTTGACACTTACGACAGTGGCGATGATTGGGAAATCGGTGTTGGGAATTTAATAATTGATTTGGATGCCGATTTGGAGAAGGACAGACAGAAATTTGAGATGAATAATTCTACTAACACCACCAGCAGCAGCAACACCAGCTCCAAGGATTGCGGGGGTCTGGCTTCCAGTGGGGCTAATGCTACCTCAGCCTTAGCTGATGGCCTAAAATTTGCTTCTGTTCAGCCCTCTGCTCCCCAGGGGAATTCCTCTCACAAAGAGACTAGCAAATCAAAAGTGAAAAGGAGTAAAACTTCTAAGGATGCTAATAAATCTCTGCCTTCTGCTGCCTTGTATGGGATTCCTGAGATCAGCAGTGCTGGCAAGAGGCAGGAAGTCCAAGGGCGCCCTGGAGAGGCAACTGGCATGAATTCAGCACTGGGTCAAAGCATGAGCAGTAACCCAAACGGCAATAATAACAACACCAGCAACACCACCACCATTGCCTCTTGTGGGAAAAACAAAGAGGAGAAACCAGGTAAAGCCCCTGGCAGCAGAGGCTCCAAGCGGGATAAGGATGCAGGAAAATCCAGGAAGGACAAGCAGCATGACCTGCAGCAGGGCCACCCCAACAGCAGTGGAGGTGGCAGCAGCCAAGCTCCCCCTGGGCACCTCTATGGCTTTGGGGCCAAGGGAGGTGGTGGTGGAAGCAGCAGCCCCTTCCACTGCACCTCCTCTGCCATGGGGGAGGTGAGCAAAAGTACCCCGGATTCAGGGTTAATGGGGAACTCTATTTTGGTAAAGAAGGAGGAGGAGGAGGAGGAGAGCCACAGGCGAATCAAGAAATTGAAAACAGAAAAGGTAGGACAAAGCTCCTCTCCACCTCTTCTCTTCTGTGTCTCCATGTGTCTATAATAAATGTCCCACAACTGTGTGTTTGGCTCCTGTGTCCTCTCTGCTATTTGTGACAGGCATCTGTTCTTCCTCTTAAAGAAAAAACAAAAAACAAACAACCCTGAGACCTCTTCCCTAGAGAGAAGACACCATGTTTTGAGTGTGCTGCTCTTTCTTCCTTATGATTTCCCCTCCCTGTCCTCAGACCTGGAGAACGTTTCTGTTTTGTCTGTTCCTTTTGATCGCAGTCAGCCAGAAGGAGGAACCCGGAGATGACCCTGACTGAGCTGTCCCCGGTTTTAGCAGAGAGCAGCAGTGTTGGTACCAGTGGGATGGCACGTGTTTGCAGGCTGGAGGTCTGTGTGTTTGCCTAGAGGGGTGCGTAGCTCAGGCTCCAGGAG